CAGGTACAAGCACCCAATGATAAATGTAAATGTATTGTATACCTAAAATGTATCAATGAAAGAATTTAAGCAAAATAAATAAATAAATAAATAAACAACAAAAAACCCAAAATATAAATGAAGCTGGAGGCTGACTAGGAGTCACGTACTTTCAGGTATGCGCATGCCTGAGGGTCTTGAGGGAAGAGTGACATTTAGTAGTTTTCTTCTTTTTTTGGTACCGGGGATCGAACTCCGGTCTTTGCGCTTGCGCAGCAGATGGCGAAACCACTGAGCTAAATCCCCAGCCCGACAGCTATTAGTTTTCTGACATTCTAACATAAACGTCCTCGTTCTATCTGGTTTCTCAATTCCTGTCCCAGGGCTTTTTGATATTTACTTGTCCTTGCTCTACCTCCTACCTCTACAAGAGTTCTACCGGTCTAACCTCCTGATTCTCGGTCTCGGTTTTCCCGCCTTTCAACTACAGTCTTTAATCCGTCGCAAATACTAAGCATGTCCCTTTCCGGTTCCTCATTTCCGGAATATTCAGGCTTCTCTTCCCCCCCTACCCCCCTACCCAGTCAATTCCCTCCTTCCCGTTGTGCCTTGCGGGGGACGCTGTGTACCCAGCAGCCACTTGGGCGCCAGTCTAGCCTCTCCACCCCGGCCCGGCTTTCGTGGCCGCTATCCCGCCTGTGAACCGAGGTACTACTGGTTGTCAGGGATCTGAGTAAACCTCAGTGGGGAACCTGCCGCGAAGATGGAGGGCCCTTTGTCCGTGTTCGGGGACCGCACCACTGGGGAAGCGATCCACTCCCAGAACGGTAAGGACGGGCGAGGCCTGCGTCGGGTCGAGGCCTCTCGGCCTCGCCGCTTTACGTCTCTCACAGCATGCCCGGGACTACCGGCCGCTGGGCACAGCGCGTCCAGAGACTCCCAGAAGAGCGCGGGTGCCTCAGCGCGGAAAGCAGGGCCTCCGCCGCACCCGTGCCAGCCACGTCCCGCAGCCCTGCTATGTAGTTTCCAACCCACTTGGCGTCAGTCTTGGGCTTCCTTTTAGCTCCATCAGCCAGAAAAAATTTGGACCTCGCCTGCACAATTAGCACATGGGCCTATAGAACTTGGGTGACTTGCAGTACTCCCCTCTGTTTGTGATCAACCGTAAGTGTCCGGTTGCCGCATGCACATATCCACTTTTTGTGCGGAACCTGCTATTGATAGCTTTTTACAGTGAAATATGTTAAAGAAATGGTGGATTGAATACTAGTGTAAACGTGAGCTGTTCATCCTAGCAAACACTAATAATTAGCAAATCAGTTGTGGATACCTGTCGGAGTTACCATTTTTCCTTGAACGAATTTGAAGTAACATTAGCGGCTTCACTTTAGGGCTACTGAGTTTTTATCAGAAAAGGGGGCGACCCGGGGATTTATTTTAGCTCAGTGGTTCCACCGCCTGCCTCGAAAGCTCAAGGTCCCGAGTTCGATCCCCACTTTGACCAAAAGAGAGAGAGAGGAGGAGAGGGGAGGGGAGGGGAGGGGAGGGGAGAGATTGTGTTGAGTTTTTTAAACGTACCAAAGGAGGGTGGAAAGTTCAGGGCTGGCATGGGCAACTTAAAGAGACTCTGTCGCAAAATTAAAATAAGACCTGGGTATATTCCATGATAGATCCCTTGCCTAAGAAGCCTAAAACCTGGGTTCAATCCCCTGTACCTTTACAAAATCAAAAACAAAAAAATCTGCTAGATTTTGAAGGAAAGGGCTGATACTACTCCCTACCTTCAAGGGCAGAGCATAAATCGATTACTTTCATATTTTGTGAGGCAGTGAATTCTTTGAAATAATTCATCTACTTAACAAATATGCCCCAAATGAAATTTACTGCCCTCCTTTGATAGACTTCTAAAAGATGATTTTTTAAAATAAAACGGACATATTTGCATAGATTTGGGAAATTTAGAGGCTGTTGGATGTTTTTTAGTTCTTTAGGCTGAAATAAATAAGTGTTCTTTAGAGCAGTGGGGTTTTCTAATTTTATTTCTTTTGTATTTTCCCATTGATTATTTACAGTTATGGCTGCAGCTTCTATTGCAAATATTGTAAAGAGTTCTCTTGGTCCAGTTGGCTTGGATAAAATGTTGGTAGACGATATTGGTGTAAGTACACTTAACCTATTGTGTTGTTTACTGCCTTAAAGAAAAAAAAACTTAAAAATTGTTTTGCTGTGTACATTGTTTGTTTTTCTTAGTCCTGGTAGTGGGAAGTATATATTAAAGTTGAATGTGCATCACAGTGAGGCTTTGATTTAGGGGGCATCTTGTTCCAATAGGTGATTGATGTCACCACTTTTTACTGCATATTTCCTAGGATGTAACCATTACTAATGATGGTGCCACCATCCTGAAGTTACTGGAAGTAGAACATCCTGCAGCTAAGGTTCTTTGTGAGCTGGCTGATCTGCAAGACAAAGAAGTTGGAGATGGAACTACCTCAGTGGTAGGTGGGACAGTGGCTAAAGAATAGACATTTCATCATAGTTGTAGCCCTGAGTGAGTCACTTGCTCTGGGCCA